TACATAAATATACTTTTGTTAATTTTTATTACTACTTATTCATAGGGAGATAATAAGTTTTTGTATTTATTTATAGGGAGGTAACAAATTTGCACGACAGTTAAGTAGTCCTGCTTATTTTAATCCAAAAATTCGAATGGGGACAGACATGGCTTCAAACTTGTTAAAAAATTCTTCTGCTGTGAGCCAAGACTTAACAAGTCCTGTTTTAAATGGACGTCAAGGTTCTCCAGTAAATGATCCTTCTTTATCAAGACAATCAAGCTTGAATGGATTCCCTAATAATGTTAGAGGAATCTCAAGAAGGCCTCAAAGGTTGTTTTTTTTTTTTCTAATAACTTTTTAACGGTAGTATGTTTTTTATGTTCACACATAAAGTTAAAAACATTCGTTTTTTTACCAATTGTTGTATGATACATTTTCACTTGAATGCATGAATCTAAAGATTGTTGTTAACATGAATACTGTTTTTATTTAGAATTTACAACTTTTATTTCTTTAGTTTTGGTGATATAACTGACTTTGATCAATGGTCACAAGCACAAGGTTTGAATCAGCAAACTCGAAATCCAACAGCTGCAATAAACCGTTCTCCAAGATCTCCATTACTGGGACAAAGCAATGATCCATGGATGGTTCCTCCATCAAATGTTCCAAGTCAAGTGAAACAAGTTGGTCAAGTAAATAGTTATCTTTCATTTTTTCAATGGTTAAGAGGTCTGAAGAAATCTAAAAATAGTTTTTTATTTTACAGGGTGGATCAAATGAATTTAATTATGTAAACAACATCTGGTCTCAGCATGCTCCTACATTACCAGTTATTTTTAATGGTGAAAACTTAAATAGTAATAATATAGTAAGAATGCCATCTACCTTAAACTGGCAACTAAATGATAATCAGTATCCAAATCACTCCAATCGAATTAATAGTCCATATGGTGGGCAATCTGATAGGCTAAACTCACTTAAAAATTTTCAAGGTATTCTTTTGTGTATTTACTTATTGTTTCTTTTAAAATAACATTAGGTGAAATATTTTGGTGAACTCCCTTTTTAATGTCTTTTGCAAAATTAGGTATTGATACATGGTCAACCTGCAGTGATGATATGAATAACATAGGTGGTAGTCGCACAGCAACTCCGGTGTCTAATCAATCAGACTTTGTTATTAAAGAAGATAGAGAAAATCATGAGAATGGATCAAGAATTCCAGCTGGCTTTCAATGTGGCAAGTGCAGTGCACGCTACCACGATACAGAAGCATTTCGAAGCCATGTCGAAAAATGTTTTAATAAGTATGTCTATTTCACTTGTCTAATATTTTTTTGTTTCAAAACTAGTTTGACAGATATTTGTTCCAAAACAAAGTTGACATATTTTTGTTCCAAATCAAAGTTGACATATTTTTGAAAAATCTCTAAAATTTACAAAATATTTGTATATTTTTTAGGTCCTTGTTTTAAATTTTTTTTTTTATTACGATTTTTGTGAATGTTTTAGATTTATTAACTTTTTCAACACAGATTTTATTCATTGTTTTTATCATCATTATATGCATTATGCATTTGTTTATTATTTTGAAAATTTATTCAAAAAATAAATTCTTGAATAAAATTTATTTAAAACTCTTTTACTTAAATCTAAAAGTTATTTTTTTTAGGTTGTATTAATGTGTACAACTTTTGGTTTTATGTTTGAAAAACATAAGTTCATGCAAAAATGCACTTGCAATTATTAGTTCAATTATTTATATTGCAATCGATGGCTGTGTCATCAATTGTAATATAAATAATTTGAATTAATACAAGTTAAAACTATTTTTTAATGATTTTTTAAACATTAATTAATAAATTTTTTAAACATTAATTAATAAATACCTGTATTTTTTTTCCCCAAGTCTCTGAGTCTAACAAAAATTAGTTACCATTTGCATTGATTTTGTGACAGTTCCTAGTAATACTCTCCTTTACTATGACTATCATCATGTCATAAAGGAAATCATTCTATAGAGTTGGTACCTACCTGAACATTTAATTACAGCCAACTCTATGTGGTATTCTCAAGACAAACTTCAAGAGTAGAAGTCAAAATACGTATTAAATTTGGCTCATAAGGAAATAAATCGAGAAATTTGATTGGTATTTTGATTGCAATGTCTACCATTTAATTTTTAGCTTTCTATGTTTTTTTAGTTGAATAATTGTATGTTCAATCATTGAACTTCAATTTAATAAAATTAAGTCCTAGAAAAAATTAAAAATAATTTAAAGTGGAGAGTCAAAATATAAAATACATAAAATATGTTATATTGCACTGATGAAAATTATAAAAACAGTTTCTTTGATTTACTAAACATAAATAAACTTCATAATTAATACAAGCAGTACACACAATACCGCTTTTGCATAATCTACATCTTTTTTTTTTATTAAATTATTTGATAGCCAACATCAAGTTTTAAAACTGATTTTAGTGCTGGAGTTACTCTTCCTCTTTTTATATCTTTAAAATTATCTTTTAACAATTTAAGAGTCTACTGATTTGACTTGAAATTATTTTGCAAATTACTTTGATGTATTTGAGAGACATAGCCAACACTTGATGCACTTTAGTTTACATTTTTAACCATTGATTTTAGTACAGAAAAGCATTTTGTTAATTGTTAGATTGTCTAACAAAAAGATTTGTGTATTTCAGTTTGATTTGGAAACTTTTTCTGTACTTCACAAAATCTTGATCTGTCAATTTTTGCATTATTTGTTTATTCAGCAAATAATTGAAGTTATTAGAAATTTTTAAAAAATTTATAATTGTGCACTTAGCAAAAATTTTAAACCTTTTATCTTTTATTTACTATAATTTTGTGAGGTTTCATAATATGTAATAATGTCACATGCAACATGATAAAAACATATATAACTATTTCAGTCATCTCCAAGCTATTAGTTTTTTTCTTTAGCAATGAAGCTGACTTTTATTTAACTAGTTGAGTAAACAAATTTTATGACAATCAAGGTTTAGCAAAGCTCCAATATAACATTTATTGTTGCTCATTTTAACTTTTATAAAATTATATGAAATAATTATTTGAAATAGTTATTAATATTTTTTTTATATTCTAATATACAAAAAATATTGATAACACTAATTTTCATATGTAAAATTATTCTATTTTAATAATATTATTATTTTGTTTGTGTCATTCCTTTCATCAGACATCTGTTTGAGTGACACAATCCTTATCAATCTTTTCGCTTATTCAGCATTTTACTTTTTCAGTATTTTACTTTTTCAGTATTTTACTTTTTCAGTATTTTACTTTTTCAGTATTTTATTTTTTCAGTATTTTACTTTTTCAGTATTTTACTTTTTCAGTATTTTATTTTTTCAGTATTTTATTTTTTCAGTATTTTACTTTTTCAGTATTTTATTTTTTCAGTATTTTACTTTTTCAGTATTTTATTTTTTCAGTATTTTACTTTTTCAGTATTTTATTTTTTCAGTATTTTACTTTTTCAGTATTTTATTTTTTCAGTATTTTACTTTTTCAGTATTTTACTTTTTCAGTATTTTACTTTTTCAGTATTTTACTTTTATTTTTGACTTTTTTACTATTTTACTTTAATTTTTGACTTTTTTTTTTTTCAGTTTTACTTTAGTTATTCATTTAAATCTGTATAGTTTTTTTTTTTCATTTTGTAAGATTAAGTTAAATAATTTTTTATTAAGATTAAGTTAAATAATTTTTTATTAAGATTAAGTTAAATAATTTTTTATTGTCATTAGTACTAAGTATTGTTCCAATGAGTCTATAGTTTTAGTATGTTGTGAGATTAAAAAAAATCCAAGGCTCATCTTTAACATAATACAGAGAAGTTTCTGAGTGTTTTAAAATAAAGCATTTCAACTTTTTTTTTTTTTTTTTTTTTTTTTTTTTCAGCTCCTAAAAAATCATACAATGCGAATAACGAAGAATCGACGAAGAATTCTTAAGAAAGCTATTTTGGATAGTTTTTCCTTTTGATTTAACTTTAATGTTTTTTTTTATAAAGTTTACCTTTTAATTTTCTTTATAGAACTTCAAATTTTGTTTGAAGTATTCAATAGAACATAGATTTATTTGCTTTAAAATAAATAGATAGATATCTATATATAACAAATAGATATATATATATATATATATAAACTTTTTCAGTTTCAATTTTCCCTCATTATTATAAAAGTATAGTAAAGAATTTATGAAAACTTTTTTTGTAATATATAAGCATAGTTTTATGACGCCCATTTTTTAATATATATAAAGGAAGGAATGCACAACTGTTATCAAAAGGATACCCAGAAGAAAAAAGCAGATTTAAATAAAACGAGATAGTCGGCTCATTTCTGCTAGGATGTCCTCTTGTTCATATGTTGTACATTTCAAATATTGTTAGCGATATTTTATCGTACTTTAATGCACGTCATTTTTACGAAGATTTTTTTTTCGAATGAATTTATTGATTTTTTTTGCGACTTATTTAATTATATTTATATTTTCTACATCATTTCAATATAAAAAAGCATTTCCGTGGCAAAAATTGGAATTTTTAGTATTTTTTTATCTTTATTTTTATTTTTTGAATTTTGTTTGTAGTTAAAAATAAACGCGTTCGCACGTTGCGTATATGCATTGCATTATTTTTTCTTTCTTTCTTTTTATTAAAAAATGTTATTGACCTATTAAAATTGAAACCCGTTTCTACTAATTGAAATTTTTCTGAGAGGTTTATTTGTTAGAATTCGAATTGCAATTCATAAATAAGCGAGTTTCTTATATTTTGGTTCCTTTGTTAGTATTTGCTTTTTTTGTAAAATAGATTACAGCGCTATACAAATTGTATTTAACGCAGTTTTTTGTGTAGATTTTTTCTTCAGAGTTTTTTGAAATATATTTAGAAAGAAAATAATAGATTAAAAGATATTATTAAATAATATTTACAGTTTTAAAAGTGGCAATTTTTTTATTATTATTTAATTTTTTTTTCTCTCGTATTGACTTTTTTTTGCTAAAATTGATTTTTTATTTATTTTTTGACATATATTTTCTTCAATTCAATAAATTTTAAAAATAACAAAAGATCTCAACACACACATTCTTTCACAAATAGAAAAACAAACTTCTTTTATTGGATTTAATTTTTTTTTTTTTTATTTAAAAGAACAGCATAAGCAAGGCGTTTTTTATTATATCTTTTACTAATTTATGTGTTGATATAAAATGAATAAAAGAGTTAGAAAAAACTATTTATTTTATGTTTTGCAAATTAGATTTAATATATTTAGAGCATTTATTAAAATATGAGAATTTGTCACTTTATTATATCAGATAAAGAAGTGATTTTTCTTTGTTTTACTTTATTTTTTGTATGTGTGACTAAATATATTCTTCAAATTATCTAACAATTGTGTTTATTTATTCTGAAGAAAATAATCCTTCTAAGTTTCAAGGCAAACTAATGAAAATCAAATTCTTCAAGAGAACCTTTTTATAAGATCCAGCAACATTCTTTATGAAATGATTTGTATTAAGAATTTGTTGATATAAAAAGTTTTATTTAAGTACTAATTTTCATTGTTTTTTGTTCCTGGGAATGCATTGTGGAGAAAAGTTTTTTTCATTTTTTTGTTTGGTAAAAACTTTACTTTTTAGAAGCAAGTTTCTAATCAGTATTTCTCTCAAGTTTTAACTTTTTATTTCAGCATGAGTTTTTTTCTTCGTCTTAAAAAGTTTTTTTTCTTCGTGTAAAAAACTTCAAAATCTTCTAATAGTTTAACCCATTTCTATAAATAATCTCAAAAGGATTAAAATCTTATCTCTTAACTTTCTCTTGGTCAGTGATTTACGATTCTAGACGTTTTACTAAGGTTAATCTAACGCTTGTTGGCATAAAACATTTTTTCCTTAACATAGGGACAGTCATCTTAAATTAATTTAGCTCATAGCTTAATTAGGAAGCCGTACAATGACTGTTTGATTGTCGGTGATTTTAATCTTCTGAATATAAAGTGGTCTATTGATGGTAATAAATCTTTCAACCCAAACAATCATATCGAGTATGATTTTTTGAGTATTTCCTAAAACAGGCTCTTTACACAACATCGCATTTCCAAATTTCCAGATATACTATGATTCTTTAAATAGTATGTTGGACTTATCATTCACCTACAACAGCAGTTCTATTTTACTTCTTACCTGTCTCCTAATGCCATACTAGGTAATAGCATTAAGGGTCATTTTAGTATCACTTGGAGTTTCTTAGTTTCAGAGCCGTTTTCCGAATGTGAATCTCAATCGTTTAGTTACAACAGAGTTTATTTCAATATTAAACTTTGTTACATTTAATGTGGGATTCATTACTTCTACATTAAACTTTTCAATTTTTAAATTCTAACTACCGCACTGTTTGCAAATATTTTATTCCAATATTGATAAAACAAAGAAAAAGTATGGTTCTTGTGTTACTCCGCCTAATAAAAACCAAATCCGAGCAAAAAAAAATTCCGCTAGGCATATCAACTGTTCAACTAAATGGAAGAATAACGAGCTTAAAATAAATTACACTCATCTTAATCGTTCAGTAAATGCAGTAATATTTAAAGCAAAAAGAGCACATAGATAATCTAGATAATATCAAAATCCTAGAACAACAATCTATTTCACTATCCTCTGTTGCCTGCAAAATCTTCAAACAATTTGTAAAGAATAAAAATTATTATAGCATATTAACGAAAATAACATGCTCTCTGCAAATCAACATGGCTTCCTTCATCATAAATCACGCGTAACTAATCTAATAGAGATTCTTGATATTATTTTGTCTTCCATAACGGGTGGTTACTAAAAATCCGGACAAACTTTAACTGAATTTTAAATGCCACAAGCTAAACCTTTTTTATTCATGTTTATATCCATTTTATAGCTTATTTAATTCTCTATAAGTTAATTTTTTTTTTTAGATAATTAATAATAATTAAAAAAATAATGATGACCAAGCAAGAAGAGGTAAGAAAACGGATTTACGAGTTCTATTTGAATAATAAATTGCAAGGTAAAAAGTTCACAGTAGCTCACTTCAATGCTGAAAAAATCCCAAGAAGCACTATCTGTGATATAATCAAACGTGTTGAGAATGATTCTGGGCACAAAAGAGTGCAAGGAAGTGGTCGTGTGGCCAAAATCATGACCCCTAAGAGGATCAAGCGCCTGAAAGCCATATTTGATCACAGTGACCGAGTTTCGATGAGGCAAGCTGGTCGAAAATTTGGATGCAGTCATTCACATATCATTAAAACTCTTGCCAAGTACACTGACATCAAAAGTTATACAAAACAGGGTATACCTCATTGACAAGAGAACCAGAATGAGCGAATCAAAACTGGCATTGATCGTCTTTATCGCGTTTTTAAACAAAAATCGGTCATCCTTGACGATAAGTCTTACTTCACGCTGTCACACTCAACAATTAATGGAAACAGCACCTACTACTCTAGCAACAGAGACAAGACTCCACCAAGTGTTAAATATCGCAAAAAGCACAAGTTCGAACCCAAGGTGCTTGTCTGGCTGGCCGCTTCTGACAAAGGTGTTTCAAAACCATTTTTTATACCCAGCGGCCTTGCAGTCAATAAAGCCATCTATGAAATGAATTGTATTAGGAAAAGATTAGTGCCGTTCATCAACGCTTATCATGCCGATGGTAATTACATATTTTGGCCGGACCTGGCTTCATCGCATTATGCCAAAACCGTGACCAGCTGCTACGAGACTCATAACATCTTATCAAAAAAGTTGACAATCCGCCAGCCGTACCGGAGTGTCGCGCAATCGAAGACTTTTGAGCTATTTTGAAAGGCAAAGTGTATGAGAGTAACTGGCAAGCAAAAGACGTGAAACAACTACGAACCAGAATAAAGCTTTGCCTGAAAAAAATTGACCTTAACCTTGTATTTTCACTTTTTGGGTCAACTCGTGTTAGAGTTGGCCGAATCCGAAGAAACAGACTGGTTGAAGACAAACTTAATTAAAATAAATAAATAACTAAAAACTCTTTTTAATGATAGTTTTATTTAATCTCTACCATAAAAACTTTGGGAGTAATTGCACTTGAAAGTTTGTCCGGATTTTTAGTAACCACCCGTTAGCATCTCACCATTTTATGAATATAATTTATCTTTATTTCGCCAAAGCTTTTGATTCTGTAACTCACAATAGACTTAAGTTAAAGATATGATCTTTTGGAATAAACGGCAAACTCCTACAATAGATTAAATTCTTTTTAGTAGGCAGAAAAGTAACGCATAACAATAAACAATACCAGTTCTGTATGAGTTGATGTTCTAAGTGGTGTTCCTCAAGTTTATGTTTTCGGCCTTGATTTCTGAGATATTTTTATATTTTGAAATATTCAGCCTGATTTCTGAGATATTCGCCAATGATACTTAAACTTTTTCTAAAACCTTTTCGCAGATTTTGTTGATCTTTAGGATTGTCTACGCTTGGTATACGAGTGGTCAAGGACTTGGTTACTCAAGTTAAATATTTTAAAATGCTGTGTTGATCATTGCGGTCAAGGCAACCCTCATTACTATTACTTTTTGCAAAATAACCAAGAAATAAATCAATGCCTTAGGAGCTCTACTAAAAAGCGTGATTTGGGAGTCATTTTTACATCCAGCATTTTTTGGTGTTTGAGATATCTTCTGATTTTTAAGCTAACTTCCAGACATTGTTCAAACTCTAAACATTTGTATGTTTACACTTATGTCAAATAATGATGCTTTGTAAAAAATTACAATAACTGGAGACTGGGATCAAAAAAATTCTTAAATATAGCCAAACTTGAGGGGGAACAAGCGGATAAAATATTTTTTGTACTATTATCAACTATATAAAATAAAATATCGTACTTATAATATATAAAAAAAGTAACGCTGTTAAAAGAACGTGGGAAACTTGCAGAAGACCATATGGTCTTGTCATCAAGAAACCGTTTTTAGTTTAGCTTTTTCTTCTTAATAGCTAAAAAGAATAAATTTACCATCACTTGAGTTTCGGCGCAATTTAATCCAAATCTTTAAATTAATACATCGTATTGATTAGTTGATGATATATACACAGCAAAATCAAAATTTCTTGTTTTAAGCAAAAAAAGTCTTAAAACAAGAAAAAAATGACTTGTCCGCGAAGTAAGAATATTTTTTTTCTTAAAATAAGATTTTTTGTTCTTGTTTCAAGAACTTTTTTTCTTTAAACAAGATTTTTTTTTTCTTGTTTCAAGAATTTTTATTTTTAAAACAAGAATTTTTTTCTTGTTTCAAGAATTTTTATTCTTAAAACAAGAACTTTTTTCTTGTTTTAAGAATTTTTGATCTTAATATAAAATTTTTTTTTCTTGCTTTAAGAATTTATATTCTTATTATAAGAACTTTTTTTCTTGTTTTAAGAATTTTTAGTTTTAAAACAAGAACTTTTTGTCTAAATTTATTGTAAATTGATACATGTAAGTTACATGTATCCAAATTAGTATATTTTTTCCTTGATTTTTCATACATAAATTGATTCAGAATCTCTTCAAAATCTAGACTTGTAACTTCGCTTTTGATAGACATAAATGCCACTAATCATCTTCATAATCTTCATTTTCACTGTTTTCTAGCTTAATTATGAAGTTCTGAACTTTTGATTCAGCTAATTGGCAACCTTAAGTCATAGTTTTTGTGCGTTGTCGGTAAATTGCGAACTGCGAACCGCGAACTGCGAACCGGAATTATCTATTTTAAAGCTTTATTTAAAATAAATTTTTTATTTTTTAACTGTAAAAGATGGCAGAGTGTTGCTACATCAACTATCTTATAGCCTGACTCGTAACGGAGTGCTGTTACATCAACTATCTTATAGCCTGACTCGCAATGGAGTGCTGCTACATCAACTATATTATAGCCTGACTCGCTGCTAAATCGA